TTTTACCGAGAGGTAAAGGAGTGAGAACCCAAGTATTTTGCCGAATCAAGGCATCATATTCTTCAGTCATGGCAGTTCTCCATTCAACAAGCTTAGAGGCTGCTGTGAAGGAGGAAGGCTCAACAGGTGAAGAATGAGAAACGGAAGAAGCCATATAGACTTTCTTCTTGGATATACCAGACTTGCTACGGGTGCACATAGGATGAATATTCTGGACAGAATGTGGAATGGCTTCTGGAATGTTATGAACAGCAGTGGAGTTATCCAAATCCAAAATATCAGTAGGAGTATCATTTACACAAGTAGTAACCATTGGAGAGTTGATTGGTAACTGATCAGGTGGGATATCAGTGGGAGACAGATCATGTGGAGAAGAAACATTCAAATCATTTAACTCATGAGGTGTGGATGAGGAAGCAGGAGAAGAAAGAAATAAGGATAAGGGAAGTTGGTGAGGAAAAGTAGTAGGAACGTTGGTAGAAGAAGTTGAAGAAGAGGGAGGGGGAAAAGAAAAAGGGAAAAGAGATTCATCAAAAACAACATGGCGGGAAATGTATAGGCGGTTGTTGCTCATGTTATAGCACAAGTATCCCTTATAATCTGGTGGATAGCCTAGAAAAACACACTGTGATGTTTTGGGTTGAAGCTTGTGAGAGAGGTAAGGTTTAAGTAAAGGATAGCAAGCACACCCGAAGGTTTTAAGATTGGAGTAATCCGGAGAACGGTTGAAGAGAAGTTCATAAGGAGATTTATGTTGGAGGGATGGAGAGGGAAATCGATTAATGATATAAACGGCAGAGGCAAATGCAAAGGGCCAAAACTTTACAGGGAGAGAGGATTTAGATATGAGAGTAAGGGCAACCTCAACCACATGTCGATGTTTCCGTTCAGCGGTTCCATTTTGTTCAGGGGTGTAGGCACATGATTTTTGGTGAAGAATTCCAAAGGTTTGAAGAAAGGAACCTAAGGAATGATTAACAAATTCGCCACGGCCATCACTACGAAGGATTTTAATGCGTGAAGAGAATAAGTTTTCAACTAAAGGTTTGAAGCGTTTAAAAACATTAGTAACATCAGATTTACGAGATATAGGAAATAACCAAGTATATTTGGACATATCATCGATAAACGAAACATAGTAATTGAAACCATTTATTGAAGTCTGAGGGGCAGGGCCCCAAACATTAGTATGGGGCAACTCAAGAGGAAACAAAGATACAGTACTAGAAACAGGAAAAGATAATTTGTGCATCTTGCCGTGAAGACAATGTTGGCAAACATGATTTAGAGAACTACACATTGACAAATTCAGAGAACGAAGAACAGTGCGAAGAACATTGTCACCTGGGTGTCCTAGTCTATCATGCCAGACTGAAGAAGATGATTGTGCACCAACATGAGCAACGAGCGATGGCAAGGGAGACGTATGGACAGTGGATGGAGGGAAGACAGTAGAAGGAATGGGATAAAAGCCATTTATACTAGGACCGTGAAAAAGTATCTGGCCCGAAGATTTGTCCTGAATAAAGAATTGATTAGCATCAAAGACAACAAGACAATTGTTATCTAAGCAAAGACGATGAACTGATAAAAGGTTGGTAGAAATATTTGGAACATGTAACAGATTTTGAAGTCTTAGATTAGAATAAGAAGTAGAGATAGAACCACAACCTGAATGAGTAATGGGAAGTGAATGTCCATTCCCTACAGTGATCTGATCATCTCCACGATACTCAGAAAGTCCAGTAAGTTGACCCAAATCAGATGTAACATGTGTGTTACAGCCAGAATCCGCAAGCCACTGAGTTGAAGAACCATTTACCACTGCAAGATTTGAGCAGCTACCATGGCAGCTAGTTGAGCGGGTGGATGGCGGCCTTGAAAGTTATAATTCATGCGATTATAACAATCAAGAGCTGTATGTCCAGGGCGATTACAAATCTGTCAAATTACCCTTTGTTGAGAAGAATTAGTTGGTGAACGCTGTACACCAAAGGGCAAAGCCGCAGGTAAGCGAGTCGGTTTCCAGAGTTACCAGAGGAAAGAGATCTTCCTCGATTTCCAGCGTTACCATTTCCAGAGGCCGGAAATTTCCCTTTACCACTAGCATAGCCTTTCCCTCGAAAGGTATTTGGATTCAGATTCTGATTGTGTAACTGATTGGCAAGTAAAGCCGTAGGTTGAGCAAATAATTCATCCTTCTTGAGTTGTTTATCAAGAGCGGTTTCCTCAGCAACAAGCAATACATGAAGCTCTTCGAAAGAAACTGTCTGAGGGCGAGTGCGCATTGAAGTGCGAAACGTGTTGAAATCAGAAGGAAGACCATTGAAAGCATATATGACGAGATCTTCCATATCGATGACAACCGAAACATTTGCCAATTATCCTTCAATTCTTTAATACGTTTGATATAAGCATCAATCGATTCATCACCCTTCTTGACAATAGACTGTAATTCAGACTTTAAACTGACTACATTGGTGCGAGAGGATGAAGAATAGTGTTTGAGAAGGGTTTCCCAAACCTGATGAAATGACTCACAGCCGACGACGTAGGCAAGGGCTGTGGGAGACAAGGTAGAGTTGATTAAAGTCATTAATGCATGATCCTTGGCAACCCAATCACTGTAAGCAGGGTTAATTGTCCGCAAATTTCAAGAATCAGATGAAGAAGCACCAGATTCCGCCGTCGATTGCGATTGCAAGAACTTCGAGGGTTTTGGGAAGGAACCATCCACGAACTCGTAAAGTTTATGCGCCTTAAGAATCGACGTTAACTTGAAATTTCCAGAGCACAAAATTGGAAGAATCCAATCGCAAGGATACGAGATTGCATATATTGGATAATAAGAATATAGGAGATGTAAGATCTTTGGCGGTGGAATCAGCCATGATCTAGAATGAGAAAAGTAGTGAGAAATTCGAACAGAGTAATGAAAAGTAAAGATTGACTATAGTGCAGAATACGTGGAAGGATCGAGATGACGTCAAGTCTAACAACCTGATACCATGTAATAATCCCTGATTAAATGAAGGAGCTCTTCTCATTATTTTACAGAGAAAGCTTAAGGGTATTTATACCTAATTCACTCAATAACTAATAGAAGTAACAGAAATAACCAAAACAGAGAGATCAAACTGAAAGTGCTAACTAACTAAACTCTCTATTAATAATAATTGGTATATAAAATTTAGTCTACTTGAGTTGGGTTTTGGTATATAAAATTTAGTCTACTTGAGTTGGGTTGTGGCCATGGCGTATCTAGAAGAGTGTTGAAAAACACTGACGTGAGAAGTCGAATGGTTGACTTTGACTTTAACATTGACACCAGCCGAGTGATGACTGATGAGTCATCGAATCATACGCCACGCCACCACAACAAGACTTTGAAGTGGACATCCAATTCCAGACCAAATGCACTAACTTTATTTACTCTTATTTTTAATTTTACTTTTTTATTTCAACAATTTCCGCGATTAATTCCTTTTTAGAGTGAGATTTTGTTTATTTAGGAAGTAAGAAAAAAATTACTTTTCTATTTTGGCTCATGTATTTTTGACTTTTTAATTGATGTATTTTCAATGAATTTTTATTTCAGTATTTGTCTTTTTAAAACGTTCTATTTATTTCCTATATTTTTAAATTTTTTTATTTTTTTATTTCAATATTTGTATTTTTAAAACGTTTGACTTGGTTACTATATCTTTTAACACAAATTTATGACTACATTTCAAAATATTTAGTGAATGAATTTTCATACTAAAATTATGATAAAAATAAAGGGATCAAAATGATTAATTCTAATATTTTTTTTTTGTTGGAGTTCCATTTCATACAAATATATGTGACATATGAGAGTACCTTTTTCAACAAATATACAAACAAAGGCTAAAAGTTACAATAATTTTTAAATTAAAAGTGAAATTGCAGCATTTTAAAAAAAATGAGGTGTGATTTAATGAAATCGAAAGTGATAAAAAATTGAGTATGAAACATCTTTTCCCCATAAAATTATTTTTCAAGAGAACAATTTAAAAAAAAAACAGCTAGAAACAAAAACACTGATTACCAATGGAATGTTGTTAAAATTTAAAAATATTTTTTAAAAAATGCCATTAAGAAATTGGCTGTGCTGGCGATGGCGATGGCGATGGCGATGGCGATGGCGATGGCGGTGCAAATTTTCAGCGCGAGACTTGACGATTGCAGCAGAGCGGTTCGCTTTTTTCCATGAGAATCAAGAATCAAAGAATCAACGGTCAATCTTCTTGACCAATTTTCTCCTCCTCCAAGTTTTTTCGCTATTAAATCGATGATCGTTGAAGCCGAATTCTTCAGTTCTTCCCAGAAAATTTCCATCTCTGTGATTCCTGTTCCCATCCCTAATGGAAAACAAGAACACCCAACTCCGAATCTTCTTCTTCCCCTTCATGGCTCAGGGCCACTCGATCCCCGCCATAGACATGGCGAAGCTATTCGCTTCTCGCGGTGCCAATGTCGCCATCATCACAACCCCTCTCAACGCCCCCCTCATCGCCAAATCAATCCCCAAATCCGAAATCGAGCTTCTGATCATCAATTTTCCTTCCGCAGCCGCCGGATTGCCGGACGGTTGTGAGAGTCTCGATTTGGCTAAATCGCCGGAGATGTTCCAGAGGTTTTTTAGGGCAACCACCATGTTGGAGCCACAAATCGATCAGATTCTCGAACAGCGCCGCCCTCACTGCCTCGTCGCCGATACATTCTTCCCATGGACGACTGATGTTGCTGCGAAATATGGGATTCCGAGGGTTGTGTTTCAGGGAACTTGCTTCTTTGCTCTGTGTGCGGCGGAGAGTATGATCGCGAATCGGCCTTACAAAAAGGTATCCTCCGATTTAGAACATTTTGTAATCCCTAATTTACCTGACGAAATCAAGTTGACTCGGAGTCAAGTGCCGGGGTATCTCAAAGAAGAGATTGAAACGGATTTCATTAAGATTTACTGGGCGAGTAAAGAAGTTGAATCTAGATGTTATGGGTTTCTTATCAATAGTTTCTACGAGCTCGAACCAGCGTATGCTGATTATTACAGGAATGTTATGGGGAGAAGGGCTTGGCACATTGGCCCGCTTTCACTGTACAGTAATGTTGAGGAAGATAAAGTGCAGAGGGGCTCTTCTTCCTCCATTGATGAGCATGAATGCTTAAAATGGCTGGATTCCAAGGAACCCAATTCTGTTCTTTACATAAGTTTTGGAAGTCTTGCCAGTTTAACCAATTCTCAGCTGCTGGAAATAGCAAAAGGTCTTGAAGCCACAGGGCAAACTTTCATTTGGGTTGTGAAGAAAGAGATCCATGATCAGGAAGAGTGGTTGCCAGAAGGATTTGAGAAGAGAATAGAAGGGAAAGGACTGATCATAAGAGGCTGGGCTCCACAAGTTCTGATTCTTGATCACGGGTCGATCGGCGGGTTTGTGACTCACTGTGGTTGGAATTCGGCTTTGGAAGGAGTCACTGCTGGCTTGCCAATGGTCACATGGCCGAATTCTGCTGAACAATTCTACAATGAGAAGCTGATAACGGACGTTCTGCGGATCGGGGCTGGGGTCGGAGCTCTGTATTGGGGCAGAGCTGGGAAAGATGACATAAAGAGTGAGGCTATAGAGAAGGCAGTGAATCGAGTTATGGTGGGTGAAGAAGCTGAAAAAATGAGAAGCAGAGCAAAAGCACTCGGAATTCAGGCAAGGAAAGCCATTGAAGAAGGTGGATCATCTCTCTCTGATTTGAATGCTTTCTTTGAAGGTCTGCGGTCTCGAATTTGAATGTTTTTGTTGAAGAATCGTCAGAATGAAAAACTGCTGAGTTTTCTTATCATGTCGTTGTCTAGCACCCCTATGCCTGTTGTAGTAGTTGAAGGATTAGATTAATAAACTGGTGAACTTCATCAGAAATATCTATACGTATGAAGATTACAAGGAGCACTTGAATTTGTTGGGGGGAATTGTGGGATCATGAGTTAAATATATCTATATTCAACGAAGGTTACTCCTCTTGTACTATTACAATTGAGCTCCTCGTACACAAATACTCTTAAAAGAATTTTCCTCTCCCCACCTTACAGGAAAGTGATTGAACAGGAAAAACCAATCTCCGAGAAAGTTATGAGCTCATGCCATGGTTGAACAATATTAGCTCGAATTACTGCCATTATTGTATAGTGTTGTACCTAGGAAATACATGGGCCAATTTTTGGCTTGATTTCAGCTCCATCTTCAAACATTTTCATTGTCCAACTCCCACTAGAAGAAATTGCAAGTTGTATTCTACAATTAGATTTGGAATTTATTCCTTTTGATGTACACACACACATATATATATATTAGTTAAGGGTTGTGTCTGGAAAGACGAGCATTGGCGTTGGCAATGGCAGCAGGGCCATTTTTCTGTCGCCCAGAACCAGAGAAACGAATCGGTGCAGACTTCTTACAAGGAACAAAGCCGTAAGTCGCCGGAAAAGGACACGGGACACGAACAAGAGAGAACAGAAAACAGTCCCACGGCGACCTCTGATCAGGCAGCCCCCCAATGCAGTTTCTTCTCAA